ACCATCCCACCTTTTTAGGTGACCATTTTAACGAGTTAGGGAGGATTTCTATGTTTAAATTTGGGTCTTCATGTTAAAACAATCCATCTTATTACTTTAAATGCAAGAGTAGTATTTAATGCTTTATCTTGAAAGATGATAACTAAAATTCATCTCCATTTTTTTCCCTTAATTTACATTTCCAAGGCTCATTCTGTCTGATTAAGTAGACTCTTTGCGCTAACTCTGAAATTCTGGCAGCCCTGAATTTTTATTACCTCTCATTTTCATGTTTCCTTTTAACTTACATCAAGTTTGGGCATATAACTCCCTTTTGTCTTATAACTACTGCCTACCAGTATTTCCTAGAGTAACTGCAGTTACCCTCACTATGAGACCATTATACTTGGATTTGTTGAAGTGGCACCTTCCCTATCATGCCACCCCCAGCATATTAGTTAGGCCACTTGATTTTAAGTTATAGAAACCAGCCTGAAGTAGCTTAAGCAAAAAAGTGGGACTTATTACAAGAGAAGAATGTTGTCTCCTAAAAAACAAGGTCAAGAATACAAATGAAACTGAGAATGATATCTGGACTCTCTCTGTCTCTCATTTCTGTCCCTCTCTCAATGGCCACTTTATTCTTTTTCCTCTGAAGACTGGCTTTCTTTGGTCTTTGGGCCATAAGAAAAAAGCTCCCCAGTGTCCATTTTCAGATCCCAAATGTACATATTGTGATTCACACACCTGGGAAAAAAAAAAAAAAACCCAAAACCCTAATTTTCTTGATCCAACTTCCAAACTGTTAGGGAAAGAACTCTGAGGACCAAACAGTGCTTGGTCCAAGCAACTGTGGCCAGGAAGGTAGTATCTTTATTCAAAGTACCTGCTCTACTCTATGGAAGGAGGTAAGGGGCTTAAATAGAGATAATTATAAACTGACAAGATTCTGAAATAATTCTTCTACTTTTGCCTCAGATCAGTTTTCTCAGCAGTCTTCTGACAATGAGGAGAATAAAGCCAGAATCAGAGATTTAAAGATCATAATGATTATTTGCAGCAACTATGAAGGGGACTTGGCATGGTAAAAATCATGAGGGCAGGGACCCCATCTGTCTGTTTATAGCTGTGTTCTTAATGTCCAACGTGATGCCTGGCAGTCAGTGAAAATGGGAGATCTACTAATTAAAGGATGCATAAAACTTAAGGGAAAAGTGTTGTTCATTATACTCCCTCCCTGGTAAAAAGTGAGAGTAAGAAATGAAGAAAAAAGATGAGGAGGGGCGCCTGCGTGGCTCTCAGTCAGTTATGTGTCTGCCTTTGGCTCAGGTCATGATCCTGGGGTCCTGGGATTGAGGCTTGCATCAGGTTCCCTGCTCAGTAGAGAGCCTGCTTCTCCCTCTGCCTCTCTGCTCCCCCTGCTTGTGTTCTCTCTATCTCTCTGTCTCAAATAAATAAATAAAATCTGTAAAAGAAAAGATGAGGAAAAGTTAACATTATCAGAGATAGCACTGGAATATATTCTCTGTCTGACTGGCACATAGAAATTGTCTTGCTCCAAGTGAGCACTGGATCAGCATTTTCAGTATCTAGGATTTTAAAAGTGGCACTAGTGCTTGGAGGTCTTTTTAAGGCTTTTGAGATAAATCCTATATATAATCCAAGAAGCTATGTTTATATATACATGTTTGTAATGGAAGAAACTTTCTCACATAGGAAAGCTTGAAAAAGATGAGCAATTCCATGAGCTATAAATAATTCAACAATATTCTCTATATAGAAACCTTCATATTCTAAACATTCATATCCTTCTGATTGTTTTCTATAACAATCTAGATTATTGAGAATGAAATACTTCCAAAATATATCCTCTTGAGTGGATTTCGTTTTGTGTAATTTCTTGATTTGTTTGATTTTTTATTATTTTTAAATCACTGTATCTGTTTGTAAGGTATACAGTCTACTCACCTGGACTTCACGTGCCTTGTTAAATGGATAGAGAGAGTGGTCTTGGGAGGGAGTGGGACTGGAAGAGGGAGGTAATAAAAACATTCTTTAGTTTGAAGTTTGGTGCATGAGTTCACCCGTTAAGTTGCTATTTGTTCTCAGTCAAGTGCATTTGTTTCAAAACGGGAAATTGAGTTCAATGATGTTTAAAATTTGCTTATACCATATTATCTAGGTTTTTTCCAATCAGAAAGTATTTATTTACAAGAAATAATTTCCAGGAAGCAAATCTTTAAAATAGTACTAAGTATGAGAAAGACATGGGGGTGGGGGGACATGATCTTGAGGTACCACTGTTTATAATAGGAGAAACAGACAAAAAGACTACATATCCAGTATAAAAAACAATCACATAGATTTGTGTTCTTCCCCATAGATAATACGGTAAAGTGATTTAGATCAAAATGGGAAGGTGATAGTGTCACTCTGACTTGGGGCAAACCGCACCTGAAATGGGAACTAACTGGAGTATATTCAGAGAAGGCACAAAGGCCAGTGAGGAAACCAGAAATAGTGTCACATGAGAAAAACTGGGGATGTTCTCTTGAAAGAGGAGGAAACTGAGGGATTTAAACTTCTGTAGAGCTGCTGTGAAGAAAAGAGAGTAGAATGGTTTGTAGGATCACATGGGAGAGAATTAGAATCAATGAAGAGAAGGTTCCAGAAGATCAATCTCAACGTGAGAGATAAAGAATTTTGTATAATCTAAGAGTGAGATACGCTGCCTCTGAAGAACATAAAATGATCTACCTTTGGACATGTGCAATATGATCCTGCAGAGATGGGAATGTGGAAAAATCTGAAGGCCTGTACCAGGAAGCTCAAAGACCTGTAAATTCCCTTCCAGTCCGGAGGCTTGGTGGTCTCAAGATTGGGAAAAGTAGATTAAGGCAGAAAGTCCAATGAGAAGAGTATCACATAAATTTATTTTCATAGGGTAATTCTCAATGTCCTTTTAAACCTCAATACTTTCTTATTCTAGACCTACTAAGGGCACCAACAATTTCAGAAGTTATCTGCTTCCCCTAATGTTTGTATTTGGTTACCACATTTTCTTTTCACCCTTGTATTTAATTGAGGATCTCTCTTTACAGAGATATTCATGGGAAAGTTTCTATCACCTCCATACTGAACTCATATGAGTAGACAGATAGCACAGATAGGTAAAAGTGTTTATCATTTTTAACTTATAGAAGCAGTGCACACTCATTAAAGACGTAAAAAAAAATCTGGAAAAGTAATAAGTAGGAAAAAAAGTCTATAATTCAAATATACAAGTGACCAAAGAAGATTAACACTGTGGATTTTCCTTCTTGTCATGTTCCATGCCTTAGTAGCATACAGATCTAATTTAACACAAGAGAGATCTTTCTGTGTTTGATCTTCCAGCAAATAATTTAATGAGCTTTTTCAAGAGTTAAAAATTCTTCAGTGAAGAGACTGAAAAACCACCTGTCAGGAATGTCATAAAGGGAAGTGCCATCCCTAGACAAGAAGATGATCTAAATCAGGAGTTGATAAACTTTTAATATAAATGGCCAGATAGTAAATATTTCAGGCTTTTCTGGTCATACGATCTCTGTTCCAACCACTCAACTCTGCTGTTGCAACACCAAAGCAGCCTTAGACACTGTGTAAACAAAATGGCTATGGCTGTGTGCCAATAGAACTTTATCAAAACAAGGCCAGATTTAGCCTGTGGGCTGTAGTTTGCCAGCATCTTAAACCAAACCAAATGGCTTAACTAAACCAAATAGCTTATTGGCCTTTTATAGCTTCAAAGCTCTTATTGTGACAAAAAGAGCTGAAAGCCTCATTCAAAACCAGTAAGAGTTTTGGCAGACTCCTGTAGTCACATGAGTTAAGAGACTAGGTCAAGAAAGTCCACCTAGACAGGTGTCATCAGGCAAACACCAATTTTTGATAATTAGAGACCAGGAACCCAAGTTAGAAGGCTGAATAATAAATGGTCTTGAGAACAGAATAGATTTAGAAAATTAAGACAAGTCACTTGCACCTTCTGAAGACAAAATCTAGGCTAGAAGAAAGGAAAGCAAATATTTACAATGAGTTTAGCTCAGTGCCTGGTATATAAATGCTTGATTGAGTAAATTAGTCTATTGTATTCTAATATGACTTGTTCTATCATATTCTAAATCATTCAGTCTATTCATCAGACACTTACTAAGCATTTATTTTGTGTCAGCAAGTCTACTAGGTACTGATAGTATAGCAAGAAATAAGATATATAATACAATACAAGACAAGACTCTAAAGACCAGGTTCTTTGGTAAAATTTCACAACCCAAACTGTTAATGCTCAGGTAGAATTAGAAAGACAGTGCTGTTAGAACGCGGTGCACATGTGCCTGAGTCAGGTGTGGTGGTCAGGAGGGGCTTTTCAGAGAAGATGATGACTGAATGAGTCCTGAGCATGAATGGGGTTAGACTGGTAGGAGGTCTTACAGTAACTGGGAAGGCATGTCTTTCCAGCCAGAAGGGACCCCTATGGACGAGGGCGAGTGAGTGACTTTCCAGGGATGCAAATGAGTTAGGAAGGCCAGGCAGAAGACAGCAAGTTGGAAAGGCACAGAGCCAGAACTCTGCACTTGAAGAACCCTGTAAATCCTAATAAGGAGTTTTGCCTTGACCCTGAAAGTGGGAAGCTATTTTAAGCAGAGAATAACTCGACAAGATGTATATTTTAGAAAGACCAGCAAAAATGCATCTAATGGTACATTAGAGGGTTTTCCTTAAAACTTTGCTAGTTACTTCTGGCCAGGGACCAGAAGTGACCTCAATACCTGGGCCAGAAGGGACAGTGGTACCACAGACATAGGGGTTGTAGCTGAAGAAGCAGAAGCAAGGTACTTCTACTATACGTTCTCCCTTTTCTTCCCACCACACACCCGAGCCTGCCTTGCAATCCACTTCTATCAGAATATGGTCCTCTGTTCACAAATGTCTCCACTTCCACAAGAGTGACAATACTTGTTTCCTCTTCGTCTTTACAGATCTGTCATTGCGAGAGCTTGGATTTTCCACAGTCCTTCTCCCCTAAGAACCGGTTATGCTGGTGAGTTATATGGTTCTTTATATTCTGTTTATCGTCTTTGGTCATGAGCCAAATTATGGTAAAGCTTGACTTGAATAGTACTTTTATTCTGGGGCCGTTTTGTATTCATGATTCTCAGACCTTCTGCTGAAGCCTTCCGAGTTCTGCCCATGCTTGTAGCGAGGTACACCCGTGGGTGTGTAGGTATTCTATACCCCTTTAGAGGTAAACTCCCTTTAGGCCAGCATTGAATTGCTGATCAGTTGTGTATAATGCAAATGTTTGTGATGCATATATCAAATTTAAATCCTCTGGAGATTATTTTTACGTTCAAAAGAATCCTGCTACAAAGTGATGAATATATCTGAAAAATTAATAAGTACTCCTTTTTTGTCTTCTTCAAAATGTGATCATTTATTCACATTAGAAGTAAGCCTATGCTCAATAATGAAGCTTTGCGTCCACGCCTGCTTTTGTTTGAAATATTGTTGAAATGTTGATGATGAGATACTTTGCCCCAGATTAGAAAAAACTCAAAGGGTAGACATTAAAATGAGATATTTCAAGACTTCCTGAAAAGATTTCAGACATTTCTATAAGTTGCATTCTCATGGAAGAAGGGAATATATTTCCAGACATGGTATCTGTTGTGGGTCTCTTTTTCAGAACATGTTTTATAGTTTTTGAATGATTGACTGGGATGTGGTTCTGGCTTTTTTGTTCTGTTTTGTTGCTGTTATTGTTTGCAGAAGGTTGGTTGAGGTTTGTTTATTGGGAGGCACAGTACTTAGAGGTGGGTGATATGAAGCTTGTCTTTTAGTTCTATAAAGAAAAGAGTTCATTCTGGAGACTAAGTTTTTCCTTGCTTTTAGCGTAAAATATTTCTTGATGTGGAAATGCAGATTGAGAATAATGAATGTACTCAGAAGGCAGTTAATGTAACACATTTTTTTATATCCGCACATTTGGCTGTATGACTAGTAATAATTTGGAGAAAACAGAAATATGTTCAAAAAATATAATTCAGTTTCTAATAATTGGTTTCTTTTTGTAGTTCTCTTCCCTAGATTAGCACCTTTGTCAGTGTTTCAGTACCTCTTTATACACTCCTGGAGCAATCATTTTTTGAATTTTCTGGGGCAGCCATTATTTTATCCTTTCTTTCATTGACATATCTGGAGTCTTGGACCATGCACTTTGATTTGGGGTACAGAATATAAAGTTAGTACGTGCCTTCCATCCACCTGTTTCCATATTCCTCCATCCCTTCCCACATTCCCATCACCACAGCTCACAAAAGCCTTAATATTTTTACTTTTGGTTCTAGGCCAATTCCATTTCCTTTTTCCCTTCAAGTACAACATAATCACTTCTGGATTGTTGACACGTTGTTGAAAATATTGGTATACTCAAATCTTTCCATTTTTTTTAACATCATAAAAAGCAAAATCAGAATTTCAATTACATTTGAAAAACATATTACCCCTGTCTTAAAATCCCAAAATGCCATCTGAAATAAGTTGCAAGGAACATTTCTGGTGTGTCTCTCAGCACACCTGTAGAAATTATTTATATCTCTACAATACTGTTTAATTTAGTTTGCTAACATTAATATAGGACAGAGTATCAAATGTTTCAGTACAACTATTCATATAACAGGAAATAGTATGTTAACTTCATTTGAAATCAGTTTTTACCTTCATGGCATGTTGGATAGAATGACTTGTTCGCAATCTCAACAAAAATGTTTCTGTAGATATTCTACAGAATGGAAGAATAGTAGTGTTAGTACCACAAGAATGATTACCCCTTTAGATGATGTGTTTTGGCCATTTCCCTAAAGTTTTTGACTGGTCTGGTGGGTTCTAAATTTTCCAATTAAGACTTTTAAAATCGAAAAAAATAATCCAAGAAGCACAGTCATGGAATGCTTTGCTCCACTTTGAGGCTAAGCTTTACTCAGGATTAAAGACAAATAAATATATTCTCTTCTGGCATTTACCTTTACTGTTAAATATTCCAATAGCCACTCAATAATTCACATTGGGCTAATGTTTAAAACTGTTATATCAATATGACATGAATGCTGTCAAAATTGAGTTATTGTATCCTATTCTGCAGTGGTGTTGCTATCAAATATACTTTTCTTGGTTCAGACCTCTTCAGCCACTGGTATCTCTCCTTAAGATAGATGAATACCAGTATCAGGAATACAAATCTTTCATCTCAGAGCTAAACCTGGTCCTTGGTTCTCTAAACCAAGATTTTTCTTGGTTCTGGAAATGATATGGTCTTAATTACTACTCTTGTTGTCTTGAATGATTCCCACCAGGGTGGGCAACCTGAGTTAACTATTTGATCGCAGAACCTCCAGTGGCCTGGATTAAGGTAGCTGTGGAAGTGAAAAGTGTATTTCCTTAACTTTAAGACATTCTCAATTATGATTCAATGACAGTGTTTGGGGACAGTTATGGATATAGTTACTGGTACACTACCTCTTTAGTGTACATTTATTTCTGTTCAAATACACTTAAGAAACCTAACGAACAACATTAATTTACTTACTCTTATACTAACTGCTTATTTGAAGTGTCACTGTCAAACCTTGAGTCTAAATCGTCTTAACCCTTGGGATTCTTTGGAATCTTTTGGCCGTCAGCAGTTACACATTGCATTGTGGGATGAGCTGAGTTTTCATCCTTTTTAACACTTTTGCAAAGGATGGCATGATTCCAAAGCAAATGGAAGGAGACCGCAGTTGGATTCTACATTAGCGATGTGGTTAAGGACATAGTTTTCTTTTTTGCTTAATTGATCTAATGATCTCTCGAGATTTCATTTTAAAAGTCAGCCTTAGCTTCTGCTAGATAGACCGCAGACACCTAAGTGGCAGATCTTCTTGAAGCATGACTTGTTAGCATCCACCTCTCTTAGATGCGAAAATTCTGTGACTTGCTAGGAGGTACTTGGTGATATCCACCGACTTTAATTGCACTGCCTGGGATGTGCAGATCATTGTCTGCCTGTCCTAACTTTTCACTATCCGGTGACACTGTAGTACAACCTCTCTGGGCACATTTTGAGCAATTAGTAGATATCTAAATTCGGTGTAAAATTCCAAATGTAGTGCTACTAATGCAAATATCTCATCCAAGACATCCATTTGAGTAGATCTTACCTTCTACGCACTGCCAAGTTCATACACATAAAGGCAAAGATAACTGTGTCACAAATTATTCCTCTTCCTAGGAGCTAGAGAGTTCTTTCTGGCATCTCTTGTAATACACATTCAGATTTCAGCCAATATTCCTCTTAGAATTAAGGAAACAGAGCAATTAACATTTCAAAGGACAGGTATCTCCTGTATAAACAAAAGAGACTTAAGCTATGAGCAATCACTCTAGCACCGGTAAAGATGAATACCTACAGTGTTTCCTCTTCTGTTCTCATCCTGCCTCCTCTTTCCCATCCAACAAGTAAACTTGTTACTGTTTGTGGGATAAGTTTCCTTACAAACTGTTAAGACAACATTTTGGGGTTGGAGTATTTATTTCCCGTGAGTCTCTACCAAAGGAGACCACATATCCAGCCCAGAATAATCTATGTATGCCGGTTGTCCCTGTGTAATTGTTAGGAGGACTCCGTTTAGCTCTCAGAAGATGCAGGTTTGAGGGACAAATTCTACAAATGGATAAGGAGCCCCAATCAAATCATAAAATGCTTCCAGCTGAACAGCTGCCTCTCCTGTCCTTCTGTCCATCAACCCAGGCGGCTGAGGACCCTGAAAGTGTCATTTTCCTCATGACAGGAAGAGAAAAGGAGACTGGGTATAAGTTCCCCAGGGAAACTACAAAAAGGGTTTTGGAGGCATCAGTTGGGAAGGTGACAAGGACACTTGCAGGTTGTCTAGGTGGCAAGAAATAAGGTGTGGTGGCAATACAGAGGCAGACCTGGCCCCGAGATGGCGAGAAGTCAGGTGGGAGCCCCTGGGTGTGCACCGCTCCTGGGGGTCCCACGCTGAGTTCTTGCAGACTCAGAAAATCTGTGTTGTATGAACATCACAGGGGCTCTGGTGCCCTTAGTTCCTTTGTTATTTTCCTTTGGGGTTTCCTATAGTGCTTGGCAATATTATTTTGAGAGATGTCAGTTGCTCCACTACACAAATAGGCAAAGGCTTTTCTCGAGACTGTGGCTGCATTTTTAAAGGCAGAGCAATCCTATTCCTGGGAACTCGGATCATCGCGTTCTGTGCATTGTTTAATGACACGCTCGCTCCTTCTCCACTGGCCTTCCTCTCTCCCTGCCTTCCTGTCCACATTTTTTTTCTCTATTTCTTCTTCTAGTCCCTTCCTCCTTCAGGCCCTCCCTCTCCTCTAATTGGAATGCATCTTATGTAGCATTTGATAACCCTTCTAAATTTTAAAGATAAGCAAATAGAATATTTTAAACTGTTTCTAAATGGAATCAAAGAAAAATTATGTTGGTTTTGAACTAAAATATTTTTTAAGATTTTATTTATGTGTGTGTGAGAGAGAAAGCACAAGCAGGGGGAGCAGCAGAGGGAGAGGGAGAAGCACGCTCCCCACTGAGCAGGGAGCCTGACACCAAGCCCGATCCCAGGCCCTGGAAACATGACCTGGGCTGAAGGCAGATGCTTACTGACTGAACCACCCATGCGCTCCTGAACTAAAATATATTTATTTGATTTTGAATTCATTTGTCACTAGGTCTGTAGGTAAAAATTACTTTTATTTCTGTGTGCAGGGTTTTACTGGTCTTTTTTTCCTCTCTTTCTCTCTCTCTCTCATGATTTGGCTACAGTCTATAAGCATGAGGCTTGCAAATCGAGCTCCTTACAGAGGCGGAGGCCAGGGAAGCATGTTGGCTGCTGAGCATGTGCTGTATGTTGTGGTAAGGGATGGGCTCCGAAAAGCATCAGGGGGTTCTAGATGTCATGCGATCATCTCTTCAACAAATGTTTACAGGGCGTCTACTGGGTACCAGCTGCTGCTGGGCCCTGG